CGCTGGTTCAAATCCCTGAGCTGACTAGGTGAAAAATCTGTTGATGTGCCCTTGAGCAAGGCACTTTACCCTAATAGCTCCTGTAAGTCGTTCTGGATAAAGAAGGATGCATGTGTGAAATCCTCCAGGTGGTTCCGTGTGCGACATGAGGCCCCTCCACCCTCGCGTTGGGGTGGGCGGCGGTGCTGGCGAGCCCCTTTCCCGACATCTCTAACCAAACATATGTGCCGTTTCATTGGTTTTCATCATTTTGGGGGTGGAAAGTGTGCATTCCATGATTAGAAACGCTTGTGTCTGGGCTGTACCAACTATGTTATAGGTTTATAGGCCCCCCCAATCACACTGGGTTGGTTGATTAGGGCTCCAGCGGAGCAGACCTGGGTTCAAATACTATTTGAAATTATTTCAAATACTTTAGCTGTGCTTGATTGAGCTTGCCTGTTGCAATAGAATCAATTAAAAAGTCCCAAAAGCGGCAACCCCGACCAGCTGGCACTCTAGGTAGGCTAAAGCAAATGCTTAAAGTATTTGAAAGATTTCAAATAGTATTTGAACCCAGGACTGAAATCTACATTTTGCCCTATCATTCAAGAGGCTAAAGCAAACGATTAAAGTATTTGAAAGATTTCAAATAGTATTTGAACCCAGGACTGGACTCCAGCCTGTTGGCTGGGTCAGTAACAACCTAGGGGAACCAACTGTTAGTGTTGGATTGGGCTGGTAATGATACTGGTGTAGTGGGCGGATCCCTGTGGTTACTCAGAGGCTGGGGGTTCTTGCACCTGTTTGGCTTATTTATCCTGTTACCACATTAACTGTGAGAGTATTGCAAGCTGTTTTGTTGTATTGACTGTTGACTTCAATTTTTATATGTTCTATGCATTTCAAGGTTTGGTTCCCATTGAATGTATTGGGATAATATGCTAAAATATGTATAGATTATGTATTTGACTTGTCATGCAGTGCAACTCTTAATCACATGTATGGTCCCAAATGAATACTCTATGGTTGCACAGCACAGTGGACATAGCCACCACTTCTAGGGGTTTGGTATAGAAGCATTTAACTATTTACCCTATAGTCACATGAAATATTGTGGTGTCCCATGAGAACCGACCACTACTCTGGTAAATCCACTGGCCAACCGGATAGGCTTTAATCAACAATTGTCCAATGTCAGTGTGCAAATTACCACTGGTAATGACATATGATTTATTTATTAACTGTGAGACATATCTGAGCCCCTATCTTGATCTGATGTTATATGAGATAACATGTCTATGGGGGTAGGCTATAGGCCATCCTTGGGGCCTCACAAAGTGGCTACATTGTGGATAGTTCAGACCAGCTGTCTAATCAGTGTCTAATCCAGGGTGATTGCTGTGTGTCTCCAGTTGTGTGGGTCCAACATGCATCAGTATAGTGTTGAAAGATAACTGAGGGCTCGATTCATTTGTACACACCATAATGTTTATGAGGTTATGTTGTTTACAAACAAGGCCCTACTGCCTGTGCATATCATACATATCTTATTCAGAAAGCTAAGGGCCTCTACTTGAGGGGTGGCTATTTATACAGTTCCCCCAAATCTTTGTGTGATTTTACTTGACCGCAGGACTCCTTGTTGCAATAAAAGCAGTTGACATTGGAAGTCAACGACATGTCGGTGCATTGCCAGAGAATGTCGCTTTTGTCGACAGAGTATGACGACAAACCGCCGCAAATATCTATCTTTAACAAGGCAGGCGCTGTATCATAGCAGTAGTATAGGCCTTTGAACAAGATCTGCTTTGGCCCATAGTGGCGGATTCCAACATGCAAGAGACATGTCCATCATAATCAAGTGTGATAGGTGGCTACATGACAAGCATTATGAAGGCTTGGTCTTCACAAGTATTTGCCCTACTTCGAGAATATCACATATCAGCACCATAAACAAAAGCGTTGTGTGTTGTATTCGAGTTTTCCATGTAATCCCATACACAGAAGTCATATTTAGGTAATAAAGCATTACATGAAAGGCTGTTCCCAGCTGTTGACACTTGTGACAAAAATATGCGTTGTTGCTTTGCTATTCTTGATCGGATGTAACAAAAAGTAGGCAAAACAAAGGGGGAGAATGCAGTACGAAATGTGTGAATCGGAGTGTTATGCATTTATTATTTGTTGCAGACAGATACTGAGTCCACATATTTGTGGTCTATTTAGCTAGTATTGTGTCTGTCAGGAATGTAACCTTTGATGGTGCAAATTCGATAATAATACATCGAAAGTGTACATCAATATTCCTATAATTATTACTACTAACTGGGCCTACTAGTAGTATGTTTATTGGCCAATTAGCCTAATGTTGTTATAGACAACTATTATATTGTATGTAGCCTCCTCGTATTACTCTGGTGTTACAAAAATAAACACAAATAGGAAGGATATTAGCCGCCAATTGATTGCTACACAATTACGGATTTGAGTATTTTAACTTTAAAAAACCTTTGTCAATTATTTTGCTGTCATGTTTGATGTGGTGTTTTACACCTAAATCCTGACAAATGGGGCGTGTTTCATACAAAACGGGGCACCTAAAAGATCTAACATCGACTCTGAAATCAGATATTACCCCCTTCAAGCAAATATAAATTCTGGAATAAAACTGTCTTGAGTTTTGGCTGTGGGGTAGCAAGGACTTCCAAATGTGATCAAGTTACCAGGAACGCAGTTTACCCATGCACGTAGAAACAATTTTTGAAGTTGACAGAAAGACAATATAGAAAATCCCTTTGTAGCCTATATTTTATAACCACTCTAGCCGAAACGTTAATCACAATAGATTTAGTTCAGAGACACTATTTCGTTCCAAATGTTTCGTTCTGAACCAAATCTTTAAAACATATTGTTAAAACTCAACATTGCACGTGGCATCATTCTTCACTTCCATAATGCCTTATTTTTAAAACTTTTTCGTTTCAATGTTTTTCTTTAAATCCTTTGCTTAGGGCCACATGAATGATTTTGCATTCAGCTGCAAATTACATTTGTAGCATCTTTGAGGCGTGAGGTAAAATATTGGTGATATCAAACCCGGAATACAGTATAATAAATAGACTTCAACCCGACGTTTTTCAAAACAACAATATTTATTACCAGTCTGTTTTTGCTCTGGGTCTTTGACATAATAATACACTATGGTTGTTGATGGAGTGGGAGACGTCCCTCATGCACCAGAATCAAATATCTCTCTCTCTCTCTCTCTCTCTCTCTCTCTCTCTCTCTCTCTCTCTCTCTGACATATTATCATTATGTTGATATTTTATTTCCCCTGGTGTTACATCAGAGCGTGCAGAATGAGCCATCAAAGTGTTTAGTGACGCCTCCTCTTTTTGATGTATCAGTCTTCAGAAACATAACAGTATGCATCAGTTATATCTGAAACATTGCAGACCACAGTCTATCAGGATTGAAATATTGAAGAACTATGTGGACTTTATTATAACGTATATGTAGCCTAGCTTACTATGCAGTTGTGCAGCTAGCTTATGCTATTGTTATTGTACAGTTACAGAATTCACAAATTGATAATAACGTTGTAATATTATGTATAACTATTATAATAGGCCTAAAATAATATAACTTATAATACGAATAATAATACTAACACTTACAATATTATTAATAATAATTCAAATGTATTATAATCTCATTTATTGCATTCATGTTGAGTTATCATATTATTCCACAACGTCCCCTATTATACGGAAATAGTTTGATATTCAGACGGAAAAATAAAGTTGATAATAACATTTAAAAAAATACTTCTATTTTTTTAATGCAGAGGTAGGCTACGTCACCGAAATATAGTATGTATCATTCGTTCCTGTATGCAGATGGACCCGTCCGCTGTCTTTCAGAACCGAAGCAAAATAAAGCATCCTGCCACCACTAGCTCGAGGACCGGAAGGACCGGGAGAGAGATTTGATAGGAGATGAAATATCTCGCTGATGATGTAAAAGGTCCCTTTCGCGTGAGTTATGACCCGGATTTGGCTAGGCTGAGAGGGATGCATGCTGCTCCCCTCTCCCCCTCTCCTCCCCTCTTCCCCTATCCTCTTCTCTCGTCGCCTAGTCTCCTCACTCCCCCGCCCTGAAGGAGTGCATCATCAGTCCTGATATATTGCCTAGCTCCACATTACCTTTAGAAAATAAAGGATCATCCAAAACCATCGCTTTTGGTGAAGGAAAATGTAATTTCTGTACTAACTAGTAACTACTTCTTAGTCCACTGCATAGCATAATTTTACCAACTTCAGAATTATCGAATTAATTTCCAATATTCATATTGGAAACGGTCAAAGTATCTATTTTCTAAAAAAGTACACAGACTTTATTAATGTAATACTACACTTAAATACGCAATGCGAATTAATCCCCCATTGACTGCACACTCTCTCTTGCTCATTTACCGTAAGGCCTATTCTGGTATCTCACCCCAGGACTAATTTTGACCCAAAGATGATAAGAGCACAACGCGTTTTAATTCCTACCGGCTCCTCCTCCTTCAAGCCATGCCTTGTAATTATTGGGAGCACCCCACTCGCAAAAGCCCTGCACTGGACTGCAACATAGTCAGAGAGTGAAAGGGAGAGGGCGAAAGTGCCAGTGGGGACATAATTGATTACGTCCTAATCAATATTAACTTGTTAGTCAGTTGTTGCTGCGACTTCTTTGGACATCGCCATTTTCAGGGAGGCACCGTTCCCCTTCGGATTGTCTGCACGTCTTTTGTGGAATAATACTTTCAAGAAGATATCCCGGTTTGGAATAAAGAGGGCTTTTTTTGTGTTTCTTTTTGCAAGAAAGTTTGCAAGCCATGGCGTGCATTTGGTGACTGTAATGTGACTTTTTTCGATAGGGTTCGATACTATTTTATCTGTGTTTGTTGTTTTCGTTGTTAGCAATTCAAAAACATTTCAAAGTTAGCTTGTATAACTACTAACGCACTAATAATGACATCCAAAGAAGTCGCCAAATGTGATGCGGTCGAGAATAGGAGGCGAAGTCCGTTGGACCATCTTCCTCCGCCTGCAAACTCGAATAAGCCCCTGACACCGTTCAGTATCGAAGACATTCTCAACAAACCCTCCGTGAAACGAAGTTACACCATTTGTGGGACAGCACACCTGATTTCATCGGCTGAGAAGCACCGTTCGTCCAGCATCTCTGCTCTGTCCAACAGGGCACTGCTCACACAAACCTCACCACTCTGCGCCCTGGAAGAACTAGCCAGCAAAACCTTCAAGGGACTCGAAGTTAGCGTGCTACAAGCAGCTGAAGGTAAATATGATGGTATTTATGGCCTTATGTCGATATTACTTTCATAACATTGCAATGCACAATTTAAAGGGAATGTATTATTTTTCATTTAATCTGCGAAATTATAACGATGTAGGGGGCTTATTCGAGTATGAAAAAAAAATGTATGCACTCACTAACTGTAAGTCGCTCTGGATAAGAGCGTCTGCTAAATGACTAAAATGTAAAATGTAAATGTAGATGTAATATTTTATCTAAAAATAGGCATTGAACATTAGGTTTTAAACAAGATTATTTGCCAGAAAATGTAACCTTTTATCTATTCTGTGCGTAATTTGGAAATGTGAAAAAGAGGCTATTCATGAATTGACCAGCTGTAATTTTGTAATTTTTCTCTTTATGATGAATGCATAACATTAGGTCTACATGTATATGTGATATATAGGCTAATATAAGTAATACAAAACATAGATAATTGATTTGGGGTCAAATGTCTCAAAATATGTTTACAATTTTAACAATGTATATTTGTTTGTGCAGGGAGAGACGGTATGACACTATTTGGGCAAAGAAACACCCCGAAGAAGCGAAGGAAGTCCAGGACAGCCTTCACCAACCACCAAATCTACGAATTAGAGAAAAGATTCCTGTATCAGAAATATTTGTCTCCCGCTGACCGAGACCAAATCGCCCAACAATTGGGTCTAACGAACGCCCAAGTCATCACGTGGTTCCAGAACAGGAGAGCCAAACTAAAGCGGGATCTGGAAGAGATGAAGGCGGACGTGGAGTCGGCCAAAGCTATAGGTGACGGTATTGTACCTCTGGAGAAACTCGCCAAGCTCGCTGACCTCGAGAAATGTGCCAATGGAACGCTCGGACATCACCCGCGAGCCGATTCTCCCGCGCAGAGTGGCCAACAAGAGTACGAGCTCGCTCGCAAACTGCGGATGTCCCCCCTGTCGCCATTTTCAGACCACACAACAAGTAAAGAATGCTCAGAGGACGACGAAGACGTGGAAATTGATGTGGATGACTGATTGCGCAGTGGGATAATGAAAGACTAAAAAGTACGACAAAAAGCAGCAACAATCCATACACGATTGTAACTTTTTCCCTGCTGATATTCGTACATCATCTCAGAACATTTACTAGTCTCTTGTGACTTTTGTATCGGCACACAGATATTCACAGTAAGCATGAACAGTACAACACATAGCCTATGCAGTGCTATATTCAATTGTATTCATCAGCAGTCGGACAGTTTCCGCTTGTCTTCAAATGTCAATGAAAGCAATATAGGTTTCATAATCAGAACTAAAGATAATGCTATTATTTTGAAACATTTCATTATCTATCAAACACACCTCTTTTAGTTATTTATTTCTCTCTCTCTCTCTCTCACACACACACACACACACACACACGGACACACGCACACACACACACACACACATTGATCCTTGTTCATATTTATGTAACACCATGTCATATGCTTAAAGTACGTCAGTTATGAAAATATTTTCGATAGCTTTTGCATGTTGAAATGCATGTTTTGTTTTGTTGATCATATCTATTTATTTGTCCTTTTAAATTATATCGCTTGTTTATTTTTTGAGACATACCTTATCATACATATAGGCCTACTCGAGTTCAGACCGTTTGTATACAGCGTTTACATAAATAGCTAGTCATTTTTACACCAACCATAATCCTTATGCTGCATTGCATGATACAAAAGGTAAATTCAAAGGATCAAAAACCAAGTTATGCGTTTTTATAGAGAAATGATCAAACGAAGGTTATAAAAATACAAAATACTGCGGTGATATTTCGATATGGAGCTACAGTTACTGGACCGTAGGAATAGATTCATTTGTTTGGATACAATATAGTACTTTACGGTTGAATAGATTTGTTATGTTTTGTACACCTGTAAGTGCCTTTCTAAAATCAGGACAGTATTTGAAAACCAATGCACATTCTGTAATGTATATACTATGGAAATAAATGGCTTTTCTCAACACGTTGTTTATGTTATTATTAGACTGATAGACTATAATTTCGATATTTTATTATAGGCCTAGTAAAAATGGTGACTATATGCAGAATTATCAAGGGGGAGGACTAAAATCCTTTATGAAGCTAATTCAATGCAGGCCTATAATATGGATGTTTATAGTAGCCCATTTAGCAACCATGATCCCTTATAATACTTCAATATTTTTTGTTCCATTGTATCCCATTTGTGAGGATACTCTAAACATTTTGTGGCTCAGCCATCTCACTCTCTTTCAAACTGCTAAATGCGTGTCTTGGCTTCTTGACCCGGCAACGTGTTTCCCCATTCGGGACGAAATTTATGTGAGAATCGCAAATCTGGTGCTGGGGGAGAAAAGAGGGTCTGGGATGCCACAAAAACACAAAGTTTTGGGCCAGTTTCCCTGAGCCTTTATGTTTGTGTTTTTTTGTTCTGCGGGACCGCAGGACGAGGCCATAATTTTGAGCGTAAAGCATGAAAACTGGGGACAAATGAGATGCCTTCCCCGATGTGACAAGTCACAATGGAGCCCGCCCGGTCTCCCGCAGGCAGCAATGCTGAGACAAGTGTGTCCCACCGCACAAAAAGGACTCAAACGTTTGGAGGCCATATGGTTTTTGAATTTTCCTCACAATTTCAGACAATTTGATGGATTGACTTAACCCTCCTTTTAAACTGTTTAACTCCCCGCGAACAAAGGCCATAATGCATACACAGGCCCCTCTCTTCACGAGGGCATCTGCGACCATTAATGTCTAGCCCCTTTTCTTTGCCTTTTTAGCCTGGCATTTGGAACAAGTCAATGAATTACAATGAAACTGGCTCTTTTTTTGTCCAGCCACTTGTCTTTCTTCCCTTTTTAGGCCCTGAAATAATATGTTTGACTTTTGTCCAGGAACGTTTTTCTAAACAACAAAATGCGGCACATTTTGTGTGAGAGTGTTTTTCATGTTAAGTAGCCCGAGTCATAAAGAGTTTAGAGTGTGACATTTATGCCAAAGTCTAGTTAAAAGGAGTCTTTCGTTGCTTTTCTTCTCGTGTCTTTTTCTTCTTCTCTCTCTATTTCTTTTGTCTTTGCGGAGTTTAATGAAGCTGAAAACATGGTGATGTGAGAAAGAGTAATAAAGAAAAGCTTTCTTTTTGATCTAGAAGGGCCTTGTTTAACCCTCCGTCTTTTTAAGGAGAGGATTGATGCTGCTAAAGAGGGCTTTCCTTCTCAATACTTTTTGGAAGCTGTTCGCATGAGTTTTATCATCCCACTCTATTATAGCCTATAACGTGTAATCTATACTATTTGTAGGCCTATAGCTTCTCATCTTTACTAGAATAAATGGGTAGTATGCCTAAAAGGCTAATAATAATAATAATAATAATAATAATGTAATACATTGATTTCTATATTTGTTATTTTTCAATTAGCCTTTTTAGAATTATATTAGCCTTATTAACATTGAACACCTAACCTGTGTCTAGACTTTGATCTGAATTTTCAATTAAGCTTCCCTAAAAATTAAAATATTCATAATTCGTTACAATATTCAATAACATTGTAATTATAATGGGTACAAGTAAGCTACTTATTTAAAGTAAATTATTGACTGAAATAATGTGGGGGAAACTATTACCACAACCAACCAAAATGTTGAATTTATTTGGTTGAGGGTCGATGCTTTTAGCCTACACTGACGGTTTGGCAAGAATGGAATAAAACCTAGCAGACTTATCTCAATGCCTTAATTAATTAGCTGGACGACTACATACAATTTTATTCCGATGACAACGTTAGGCTACTGTAGGATTCTCCAATAATATCTGGATATGGGCAGGCTATATGACCACACAAACACACACATCGGCTAAGGCTACCCACACAAACAACAGCGCGAGCATTGATCGGCTACTTGACTTGACTGCGCGCGTGGTCGCCAAATAAACCCCCTGCGCTTTTGATGGAAAAAAAAAAAAGCTGCTCGAATTCTCCCCACCTCCTTATATCACTCACGCCTATTCTGAATAAAGCATATTTATGGTCGGGGAGAGTGGAGAGTGTTAAGGCAGGCTAAGTTTATGGATTTCACTTGCTTATTTTATGAGCGGTTGTCAAGGCGATAACTAATACGACAGTCAGTGGGACCAGCTCTTGGTAATTAATCCGTTGGTCTTAAGTGTATTTCAGTTCAAGATGGAAAAAATCACTAATTCAATCGTCCGGAAAATTGAAGTTTGATGCATGAGTCCCTGCTGAAACAATGGGGCTGGCCACCAAACTCTCTCTCTCTCTTCATCTCCTTTTCTTCCCTTTCTGTGGTCCCTTCATTTATCTGTCTATTTCTTTCGTTTTTCTCATTGTGGAAACATTTATTACAAGAAAAGCAGGAAGAACTTATCTCTGAAGCTCATGATAACTGTAGCCTTTATAAGGAGAAATGTAGGTTAGCAAAGTTTTCAATCTAAACTGATATCAACCCGATGTAAAAAAAATTTTTTATAGGCCAATGTATCTCAAACTAGCAAATTGTCACAGCCACAGCGAAAAGGAATCTTTTCAGCCTTATATCTTTTATTTGAAAATATAATGCATGCATTGTCTATGCATTTTTTATTTGGCTATTCTATGAATAACCTACATAAATCATGAGAATAACCTACATAAATCTTTTGCTGCATCAAAAGTCAAAATCTGATAAAATATTCAGGTATGCAGTTGTCAGTGAACGTCTCTAAATAGGGACGAATACCAAAGTTTTAATCATACCGTTCCTGGAGAGCCAGTTAATACTTCAAACTTCAATTTTACGGGCGATTGAACTAAGCATGTTCCTGACAGAATTGATGTATGTATTAATTTCCTTTAACTGTTGATTAATTAGCCCGCGCTGAAGGCTCAAATGGAACTGTTTGCTTCAAATTTGCATATTAATCAAATTGTAGTTGATCATTCGCACGAGGCATGTGATTTAGGAGGGGAACATATAGGCTTGGTAAAAAATATATACCCCAACCTTGGAAATATTTTCTCTCCTCTGCTGCCGCTGAGTTGCCTGCACTGTATTAAAACCAAAGACGCAGAACGAGTTAGCTTAGCTATTTCCAGCAAACAGAAATTGCCTGTCCGGTTTTATGACGGCACACCGCTGAGCAGGCAGATCTTAATGATGTGTCCTGTCAAAATGTCACCGATTTAAACGGGGAAATTTACCACTACACAAAACCTAATTTTTTTCTCTCTCTCTTTTCTATTTTCTCCCTCTCTCTCTCTCTCTCTCTCTCTCTCTGTGTGTGTGTTTGCAAGCAAGCAAATACAGTAGGCATACATTCTCTGTGTGTGTGTGTGTCTTGAGGCTGTTTCTCATTCTGAGAGAGAGGTTTAATGTGAAAATGTAATGTATGACGTCTGATGGGTTGCATCAGATTTGTCAAAATGATACACATTTTCAAAGGCTGCCATCTTCTGGCTAAATACACTCACTCACTCGCTCACCCAAAAGCGCTCCTCTATAACTTGACGTTTATCTACTCCTGTAAGTATGGTGCCACTGCCACCTTGTGGTCGATTTCTATCAAGCATCTCAGCGTGGCCTTACATTTGGTAGCCATAAGATTCAATATGTACAGGTAACTGCCAAAATAATAGAAACACTTGAGTAAATGAGGGATACAAAGTATATTGAAAGCAGGTGCTTCCACACAGGTGTGGTTCCTGAGTTAATTAAGCAATTAACATCCTGTTATCCTTATGGTCATGCATGTGTAAAACAACAAGCTCTCACTGCAGAATTAGATGTTCATCCAAGTTCTCCAAACACATTTCAAAGTTGCTCCAAATGTAAAATTTCGAAGTTCAGGGTTAAGTTAAGTTTAGGCACTCATTGTAAATGGTCAAGGTAAGGGTTAAGGTTTGGGATAGGCTTACAACCCAAAATAAAATAAAAACATTTCCATGAGTGTGATCAAACACGCAACCTTCTGATCCAGAGTCATGGGATCCACCACCTCCGTCCACAATGCCCTAGCAAAACCCAAACCTACTTGATGGTAATAGCACTCACCGTTGCCCCTAGTAGCCGGTTATGAAGGCATTTCTTGTCCTCAGGACGTGGATAGATGTTCAATTTCAACGTCAATCTTGAACGACCTGGCTGGTATAAAAATGCTGGGCAGGCCATTATTTTGGCTACCATGGCTATGCCCCCATAGGATGACAATGCCCCCATCCACAGGGCACGAGTGGTCACTGAATGGTTTGATGAGCATGAAAACGATGTAAACCATATGCCATGGCCGTCTTAGTCACCAGATCCAGCTTGGTCCCATAGACTAGACCTAACATACTAAACGTAAATCCATCAGATCTCAACCCAATTGAACACTTATGGGAGATTCTGGAGCTGCGCCTGAGACAGCGTTTTCCACCACAATCAGCAAAACACAAAATAATAGAAACTCTTGTGGAAGAATGGTGTCGCATCCCTCCAACAGAGTTCCAGACACTTGTAGAATCCATGCCAAGGTGCATTGAAGCTGTTCTGGCTTGTGGTGGCCCAACGCCCTATTAAGACACTTTATGTTGGTGTTTCATTTATTTTGGCAGTTACCTGTATGTCTATACTGTTCACTTTCCCCTTGACAATATTGTTATCACTGTAGGTTAGAATTTAACTGTAATATCAACATAGATCTATGACTAAAAAGTCAAGCAACCCCTGGTTCCTGGTTTGGTTCTAGATTCAGAGATTCATAAATGAAGAGAGAAGCGGTATGACCCACTTTTGAAATTGACTGTTGTTTCCGATGAAAAATAAAACACATTCAAATTGAAATAGCAAAAAAAGACATTTACTGAAGATAAAACAGGTGGGAGGGGGGTTAGAGTGGAAGGAGGGATGAAAAAAAGAAACGAAGATAAACAGCAGCATTGAGCGTCTTGAGAGGTGAGGCTCTCATCCTTCTGGATGTTTTCCTCTTTCATGGAAGCCACTTTAGCCTGAAAAAGGAAAGGTAGACAATAGAGAAAAAGCTCTGAAAATAGCTATTAGCACTGGATATTAGTATCAACCTAGTTTAATGATTAACAGTATAACATAATATGATAGTATGAGTATTACTGACAGGCTTCTTGTTCTTCCTCCTAAAAAGTCTCTGGAGAGCTGAGAAGAATCCGGTTCTATTTTTCTTCTGCTTGGTGTCAGGTGAAGAGATTATGTTGTCATCAGTGGTAGAGGTAGACTTCTCTGCAGACTGATCCAGGCTGGTAGCATCAATAGTAATGGTAATTCTCTTTCTCTTGGTTGAAGCATCACCCACATGGAATTCAGGTTGGTTGGAGGCTCTCAGGGCCGTAGACCAGGGGTTCTCAAACTTTTTGGGGCCGGGGACCCCTTTTGTGATAGCAAATTCATCAGGGACCCCCTCATAATCAGAAATTAAAAAGCATACAAGGAGTTTTACTATGACTTCTGCGGGGCATGGCCGGACGAAATAAGCCTCAAGTGCCTCGGGCCCTCTTGTTATCGGAGAGAAAATTGTTCCGTTTTAAAGATATTTTCCTGCAATTCTACACATTTTGCAAGGAGGCAGAGAGAAAACGTTGCAGTTTTAAAGTTTAAATTACAGTGCATTTATGTAAATAAATAAAAATACAGGAAGTATTTAGTAGAAAAATATATAATGGTGGTGTACTGTGGATACCAATATCCCTGAGAGCCTCCCAGACCCATGTTGCCCAGGGTTAAGAACATAAATTGTACATGAATAATATTGCATTGTATTGTATTACACCCTCTAAACTAATTTCACAGATCCCTTGGCCAAAATTAGTTTAATCTGTTTAGCTATGTTGTTAATATTTACTTAAAAATGAATTATTATTATGTATTTGGAGGGTTGGAGTGAGAGGAAGGATGAGGAAAAACAGAAGCATCATTGTGGGTGCCTTCAGCAGTGAGTGTCCTCAGTGGGTGACTTCAGCAGCGAGGGCGCTCAACCACCTAGATGTCCTCCTTCTTGGAAGCCACTTTAGCCTAAAAAAGGAAAGATAGACAATAGAGAACAAAAAAAAGGCATTAACACTGGATATTAGTATCAAAACAGTTGATAGTGGAAGAAAGCATAACAGTTACCACAGAGTTAAACCGCATGAGTTTTATGGGTGACTAAGCTTCGCATTACTTTTTCTTCAGCCACTGAGAGCTGACTCAGAGAGATGAAATATCACACCTCTTCTCTTCTTGGCAGCAGCAGTTGATGAATGTCGTTGACACAGTAGTAGAGGTGACATTTCCAGCAGACTGCTCAGGCTGGTAGCACAGCATACTCAGAAAGCAACATGGCTACTCTTGGTTGAACCCAAATAAATAGTGATGGTAAGTCTACTTCCCTTGGTTGACACATCAGCCACATGGACCTCAGGTTGGTTGGAGGCTCTCAGGGTGGAGTCATCATCCTGAGACACTAGGTTTGTAGCAGTCTGGAGCAGGTCATTCTCCACAATGGAAACACTGGTAGACAGAACCGGAGATACTAGGCCTGCAGCAGACTGGATCAGGTCATTCTCCACAATGGAAACACTGGTAGACAGAACCTGAGATACTAGGCCTGTAGCAGACTGGATCAGGTCATTCTCCACGACGGCAACACTGGTGGACAGAACCTGAGACACTAGGCCTGCAGCAGACTGGATCAGGTCATTCTCCACGACAGCAACACTGGTGGACAGAACCTGAGATACTAGGCCTGCAGCAGACTGGATCAGGTCATTCTCCATGATGGAAACACTGGTGGACATAACCTGTAGAGTCTGGAGGAGTGTCAGTGGCTCCCACTCATCCAGGAAGAAGCTCTCTACAGAGGGGAAGCTTCTTCCTTTCAGAGCTGGGGGAATGTAGGGGGTGTACCCAACAGTCCAGAGCAGAGAGCTGTCGATGGCATTCGTGTAGTGGAACTTGTCGCCAAGTACCTCTGCAAAGCTCTGACGGATGTTCTGACTCTCTGACTCTGGACCGTCAAGGGCGTTGAGTTGGGTCACCATTGAGATCCACCCTGAAAGAAACAATATGGCAACACAGGGTAAATATAACAGATTTTTAGCATTGTAAAGAAGGAATATTCTCCTTTTCACTAAAGGCAAATGACGAGTGTGTCTCAATAATATCTAATTTCTCCTGAAGTGTGCACTTGTTCACTACTTCCCACAAATCTAAAAACATTGGGTTGAATAAACTATATTTATTATACCAGTCATTTCCTTTCAAATCAGTGAAGTGAACAAATGCACACTTTGGTACAAAGGAGAGATCATTTGGACATATTGTAAGTTTATAACTTCATTTTGCATGGTTACATGGCTTGGTAACTAACAACAAATGCCCCAAGTCATCTTAACCTATGTTATATTTTATATTTCCTTTCAACTAATAATTCAACCTTCAATTAATATTTTAGTTTCAAGATGGAAATTAATTTAATTGTTCTTACCTGAATTTACTTCATTGTCCTTAATGGAACAATGTCTGTCTTCAGAGAGGATAAATGAAAAGCTTGCCATAATGCTGTCTCTCTCGTTGTTTGTCGATCAAGATCTGTTGAATTCTTGAGATTTCGGAACTTATCTCTTGGGTTCTGGAGTTCCATGTGATGCGTCAGCATTGTGACAATCTTGGTCGCATGGAGATGGTATTCTTTATACAGAATGGCATTATGCAGTGTTTGGAATCGGAATGGGAATGAAATTCTGTTTACCACACACTCTGGCTATAAACAATATGCAAAGAATACCTCATCGTTGATTGATTTTAAATTGATTATCAAATGTTTATACATTACTGCAACCATGCGCTTTTCCTTACCTGGGCAATGTGCACAAACAGTACATTCGGAAAGTGTTCAGACCCCTTCCCCTTTTCCACATTTTGCTACGTTACAGCCTTATTCTACAATGGATTACATTCATTTTCCCCCTCATCAATCTACACACAATAATCCCAAAAGTACATTTTGACAGGAAAATGGTCCAATTCACACACTTATCAAAAGAACATCCCTGGTCATCCCTACTGCCTCTGATCTGGCGGACTCACTAAACACAAATGCTTCATTTGTAAATTATGTCTGAGTGTGCCCCTGGCTATCCGTAAATAAATAAATAAATAAAATAAAATTGTGCTGTCTGGTTTGCTTAAAATAAGGAATTTGAAATGGTTTAAACTTTTACTTTTACTTTTGATACTTAAGTACATTTTAGCAATTCCATTTAAATATACTTAAGTATATTTAAAACCAAATACTTTTAGACTTTTACTCAAGTAGTATTTTATTGGGTGACTTTTATTGTTACTTGAGTCATTTTCTATTGAGGTATCTTTACTTTACCTCAAGTATGACAATAGAGTATTTTTTCCACTACTGTCTATAGACAGGTGTGTGCCTTTCCAAATCATGTCCAACCAATTTAATTGACCACAGGTGGACTCCAATCAAGTTGTAGAAACATCTCAAGGATGATAAATGGAAACAGGATGCACCTGAGCTCAATTTCAAGTCTCATAGCAAAGGGTCTGTATTTTTACAAAAATATATATTTAGAAACATTTCTAAAAACCTGTTTTCGCTTCGTCATTATGGGGTATTGTGTGTAGATTGATGAGGATGTTTATTTATTTAATCCATTAAAAAGAATAAGGCTGTAACGTAACAAAATGTGGAAAAAGTCAAGGGGTCTGAATACTTTCCGAATGACTGTTAACCAAATAGCTACCCAGACTAACTATTTAGCAGTCTTATGGCTTGGGGGTAGAAGCTGTTCAGGGTGCTGTTGGTTTCAGACTTGGTGCATCGGTACCGCTTGCCATGTGGTAGCAGTTTATGACTTGGCTGGCTGGAGTCTTTGACAATTTTTAGGTCCTTCCTCTGACACCGCCTGGTATAGAGGTCCTGGATGGCAAGGAGCTCGGCCCCAGTGATGTACTGGGCCATCTGCACAATCCCTCTGTAGTGCTTTGTGGTCAGATGCCAAGCAGTTGCCATAACAAGCGGTGATGCAGCCAGTCAAGAAGCTCTACCACCGTCTTGTCGTCAGCAAACTTAATGATGGTGTTGGAGTCGTGCGTGGCCATGCAGTCGTGGGTGAACAGGGAGTACAGGAGGGGACTAAGCACGCACCCTTGAGGAGCCCCTGTGTTGAGGTTCAGCGTGGTGGTTGTGTCGTTGCCTACCCTCTTTTTGAGGATCTGAGGGCCCATGCCAAATATTTTCAGCCTCCTGAGGGGGAAGAGGCGTTGTCTTGCCTTCTTCACGACTTTGTTGGTGTGTGTGGACCATGATAGACCCTTAGTGATGTGGACACAGAGGAAGTTGAAGCTCCACTACAGCGCCGTTGATGTGAATGGGGGCGTGCTCGGCCCTCCGTTTCCTGTAGTCCACGATTAGCTACTTTGTCTTGTGACATTGAGGGAGAGGTTGTTGTCCTGGCACCCCACTGCCAGGTCACTGACCTCCTCCCTATAGGCTGTTTCATCGTCGTCAGGCCTACAACCGTCTTGTAGTCAGCAAAGTTAATGATGGGGTTGGGAGTCGTGCGTGGCCACGTAATCATGGGTGAACAGGGAGTACAGGAGGGGACTAAGCACGCACCCCTGAGGGGCCCCCGTGTTGAGGTTCTGCGTGGCGGTTGTGTTGTTGCCTACCCTAACCACCTGGGGGTGGCCCGTCAGAAGGTCCAGGATCCAGTTGCAGAGGGAGGTGTTCAGTCCCATGGTCCTTAACTTAGTGATGAGCTTGGAGGGCACTATGGTGTTGAACACTGAGCTGTAGTCAATAAACAACATTCTCACCTGCAGTGCCTTCAGAAAGTATTCACACTCCTTGACTTTTTCCACCTTTTGTTGTGTTACAAAGTGGGAATAAAATGGATGCAATTGTCATTTTTGGTCAACGATCTACACAAAATACTCTGTAATGTCAAAGTGGAAGAAAAAATATTATTTATTTTTTATTAATGGAAAATAAAACACTAATATATCTTGATCAGATAAGTATTCAAACCCCTGAGTCAATACATGTTAGAATCACCGTTGGCAGCGATTACAGCTGTAAATCTTTCTGGGTAACTCTAAGAACTTTGCACACCTGGATTGTACAATATTTACATATTATTCTTTAAAAAATTCATTGTTGTTGGTCATTTCTAGACAGACATTTTCAAATCTTGCCATACATTTTCAAGCCGATTTAAGTCAAACCTGTAACTAGGCCACTCAGGAACATTCAATGTCATCTTGGTAAGCAACTCCGGTGTATACTTGGCCTTGTGTTTTAGGTTATTGTCCTGCTGAAAGGTGAATTTGTCTCCCAGTGTCTGTTGGAAAGCAGGCTGAACCAGGGTTTCCTCTAGGATTTTGCCTGTGCTCTATTCCGTTTATAAAAAATAAAAATAAACTCCCTAGTCCTTTCTTATTACAAACATACCCATAACATGATGCAGCCACCACCATTCTTGAAAATATGAAGAATGGTACTCAGTGATGTGTTGTGTTGGATTTTCCCCAAACATAACGCTTTGTATTCAGGACAAAAAGTTTATTTCCTACATTTTTTGCAGTATTACTTTAGTGCTCCTAACCGACTGTGCTATATTGTTTGTTTTTTCGCATTGTTTGTAACTTATTTTGTACATAAAGTTGCTGCTACCGTCTCTTATGACCGAAAAGAGCTTCTGGACATCAGAACAACGATTACTCACCTCTATATGGACGAAGATTTGTTCTTTAATGAGTCCGACACGAAGGATATACTGCTCTCCGAAAACCAGGCCCAAATCCCTGTCATTTGCGTAAAGAAAAGGCAGAGATACAGAGGGAGAAGGTCGGGGTCCCTTGTAAGTAAATCGGGTCTATTGGCCAACGTGCAATCACTGGAAAACAAACTCGATGATCTACGGTCGAGACTATCCTACCAGCGGGACATAAAAAACTGTAATATCTTATGTTTCACCGAGTTGTGGCTGAACGACGACATGGATAATATAGAGCTGGCTGCGTTTTCCATGCATCGGCAGGACAGAGCAGCTACGTCTGGTAAGACGAGGGGCGGGGATATGTGTCTATTTGTCAATAACAGCTGGTGCGCTATATCTAATATTAAAGAAGTCTCAAGGTATTGCTCGCCTGAGGTAGAGTACCTCATGATAAGCTGTAGACCACACTATCTACCAAGAGAGTTCTCATCTATAATATTCGTAGCCGTCTATTTACCACCACAAACTGATGCTGGCACTAAGACCGCACTCAACGAGCTGAATAAGGCCATTTGCAAACAAGAAAATGCTCATCCAGAAGCGGCTCTCCTAGTGGTGGCCGGGAACTTTAATGCAGGCAAACGTAAATCCATTTAACCTAATTTCTAACAGCATGTCACGTGCAACCAGAGGAAAAAAAACTCTATACCACCTTTACTCCACACACAGAGATGCATACAAAGCTCTCCCTCACCCTCTATTAGGCAAATCTGACCATAATTCTATCCTCCTGATTCCTGCTTACAAGCAAACACTAAAGCAGGAAGTACCAGTGACTCGCTCAATATGGAAGTGGTCAGATGACGTGGATGCTACGCTACAGGACTGTTTTGCTAGCACAGACTGGAATATGTTCCGTGATTTATCCAATCGCATTGAGGAGTATACCACCTCAGTCACCAGCTTCATCAATAAGTGCATTGACGACGTCGTCCCCACAGTGACCGTACATACATATCCAAACCAGAAGCCATGGATTACAGGCAACATCCACACCGAGCTAAAGGCTAGAGCTGCCGCTTTCAAGGAGTGGGACACTAATCTGGACGCTTATAAGAAATCCCGCTATGCCCTCAGACGAACCATCAAACAGGCAAAGCGTTAATACAGGACTCTGATGCTCGTCGGATGTGGTAGGGCTTGCAAACTATTACGGACTACAAAGGGAAACCCAGCCGCGAGCTGCACAGTGACACAAGTCTACCAGACGAGCTAAATGCATTTTATGCTCGCTTCGA